TGCCACTCAGGAGAAATCCAAATGGGGCCCCTGCCAGATGTCACTGTTAGGCTTCTCCTCAAAAGTCCCCCGGGGACAATGGAGGTCTCCCTTCTTCTCACCCCTTACCCATCCTTGAGAGTCCCAGTTAAGTCCCCAGATGCCTCATGTGGAGCCAGTCCTGCCTCCAGCACCGGCCTGTGATCCCAGACATCCTGAGCAGAGGGATTCTTATAAACTAATTCAGACTAAGGTGTAACAGACTGAAAGCTTGTCACGAAGGACCTACGCTTTCCAAGGGATTGGGCCACGAGACCCCTCAGATGGCGTCAGAACGAAGACGTGTACAAGCAGTAGCCAAGCTCACGGCCTGCCCCTGTCAGCAGTGAGGCCTAGTACCTCACCTTGCTAAGCCTCAGTTTACTCATCTGGAGGGGAGCGCAAATAGCAGCATTGACCTCTGGGGGATGGCGAGAATCTGACGAGTCGATGTGTGTCAGTCCCTCGGTACCGGGACAGGCACACGGTAGGTGACTCAGAAGCTGTCACTGTGGTGATAACTTGGAGAAAAGCAGGAAACATTGAGGAATTCAAGCGAAGGTCACAGCATACATTACACCGGGCTAAGTCAGAGGCCATTTCCCGCCCAGACCAGTGGCCGCAGGTGCCAAAGGTTTTACACAAAAGCTCTGGGGAGAAAGAGCGAAGACTGAGAAAATGCTCTCCGCTAAATGAACGTTGTCTGCAAACTGGGAAAAGACCACCATTAGTCAATTTGGCCAGCGGAACACCTGGGGTCCGGCTCGCAAAAGCCTAATGTTGACAGTGGGGTTTGGCAAGCTGGCGTTTCCCCTCGGGGAATGGGGTTCTAATGGGGGGATTCACAGCCTGTGATGGGCCCACGATGCCCACAGTGGAGCACAGAAATCCGTATTCCAGTCCCGGCTTCCTGCCAACGGAAAGCACCTCTCTCGAGGCCTCGGTCTTCCCACCCGGAAGATGGTCGATTTGAGCCAAGAACATCTATCTCCAAGGAGGTCCTGGGACTTGACAGATGGCCCAGGGCCCCGCCTCAGCCATAACCTGTGGCCCTTGAAGGCCCCGGAGGGGACAGCCCCACTCGAAGAGACCAGAGGAAAAGGAAAGAGGTTGGTTCACTTTGTGGCCGACGCTGGAGTGGAATCCGAGGGTCTTGCCTCCAAGCCGTTTGCTTCCCCGGCGCGGCATCGCACGGAGGCCAGAGCAGGCCAAACACAAGAAATAATAAATCCTAACCAGGCTTTGCCCAGTCAGGAGGCCCCGGCTGGCTCTTGTCATAAAAAGATCTTATCCCCATGAGCACCCCATGCCGCGGGTGGAGGACTCCGCCCTCCTCCCCTCAGCCCTCAACCCTCAGCCCTCCGCCTCCACTTCTATTTCCTGTGACAACCTGCAGACTGGAGACCAACTTGCCTCTCCCCCACGCCCAGGCTCGGCTCAGCTCGACCCCCGCCCCGCCCCCGCCCGGGCCCCAGCTGCAGGAGGCCCTAGCAGAGTGTAATTCCCCGCGCCCTCCTCTCCGCCCTGGGCCCGTCCGGACAGATTAAGCCTTTGTCACACACACCCAGAAAAGCACAGGGCCAGATGGGACGGGACAAGTGGTGTCAGATCATCGACCCGCGGCCGCCGGCCGGGACTAGGGAAGGGCCCAACCACAGCACCGCATATGGCTGTGGGAGGAGGCAAGGGGGCCCGGGGAGGGGGCAGCCAGAGAACAACATGGAAGAGAGATGACACACCATGGCCACCCTTGGGACGGCACACTGAGCGGGGACCCTGGTTCAGCCACTGGATATGACCCAACACCCACAGCCCCTCTTCCCTGAAATATTTTTTATTTTTTCTTTGCTGCTTGCACTCCCTTGGGGGCTCCGAGGGCTTTATCACATCCTTAGCTAGGCACGCCTCCCCCACCAGCTGGGTGCCCGGGAGCAGGCAGAGTCCCACCGGCCACAGTGCCCCACACCCAACACAAGGCCTATGGGGGCCGAGCAAGTGCCTGGGACAAAGATTTACAGCCTGATGACCTTCACGGAAACCCACCCAGGACAAAACTACAGGATGTCTCCCAACTGCCACCAGAGGCAATGGCAACTTTGTGTGTGTGTGTGTGTGTGTGTGTGTGTGTGTGTGTGCGCGCGCGTGTGCGCGCGGGCGCAAGCCCATGAAGGCAGGGGGATGTCCTTTGCACCTTTCAAAGATGGTCCCATTCAGCCCCTCCCAGGAAGAGGCCATGGCTGGCCCAGAATTCCCAGCAGGATTTGTTCCTCTTAGATCAGTGGAAAGAAAAATGGAAATATAAAAATAATTACTGAGCCCCAGGAAGGTGCTCGGAGATGGGGGTGGCAGGACTCGGGGCAGCTCCTGCGGCTGGCTCCAGTCGGCTGGGCGGGCGAGTGGCAGGTAACTAACGGGCTCTCTGGGGATCAGCAGGCCAGGCAGGAAGGCATGGGGAGCCGGAGGAGCAGGCTGTCGAAGGAGGGCACATCTGCTCTGTTGTGTTTGTCGTCCTCCTGGCAGCCTGGGCAGGGAGACCTGGGTCCCCTTTCTCTGCCTCCCAGGCAGGTGGTCCCTTGGGGAAGGCTTATTATTGGTCTGGGAGCCAGGGTGGAGGCTGGTGGGGGCCCTGATGTCAGGAACAGGTGAGGCAGGTCAGGAGGAGCCTCAGGAAGGATCTGAAGGGACTGGCTGGGCTGGGAGGAGCTGGAGCCCAGGCCTAGCACCCAATTTCTGCATGTGGCCTGGATGGGTGTGTGTGTGTGTGTGTGTGTGTGTGTGTGTGTGTGTGTGAGAATGCTCATGCTTGCTCTGCCTTGACAGCAGCGTTGCTAAGAGGGTAAAGGGACGGCCCATGATGCCTACTCCCTAGGGGACAGATGGACCCACACAGAACGGGTGAGCCAGCTGACAAAACTGAGGGTCACCTGCCTCTCAACTTCAGTACAGGGTACAGTGGGGGATCCTGCTTCCTGCTGTGGGGAAGCTGAACCAAGACTCTCAGCTCCCTGGGGAGGGATAACCAGGCTGGGGTAGGAGGTGCTAGCTGGCTTGGATGGCTGAGGGCACTGACCCAGGGGAGGGGGCACGGACCCAGTCAACCACCTGGTGGGTCACTGACCTCAAAAAAAACCACAAAAAACAAAACCCACACTTAGACTGGGGACACTAGCCCAAGATGGGGGGAACCCAAGCGGGTATGGAACTGGGAGGGTGGGGAAGACTGACCTAAGCTGGGAAGAGGCGATGGCCCTTACTCCCCGTATGGGCAAGCGGGCACTGATTTGGGCTGGGGGAGGGGTCCCTGACTCAATCAGGGGAGGGGACAATGACCCACACTCCCCGGGTTGCGGGGAGAGTACTGATTGGGGCTGGGGAGGGGTTCCCTGACTCGCGCGGGGTGGGCCACTGCTCCAGCCTCGCCCTCCGGGAATCCGGCCCCGGCGCACCCCTTGTCCCGGCCCCATGCTCCGGGTCCGGCCGGAGGCGGCAGCGGCGCAGATGGGCTGCTGGCGGCCGCAGCGGCCGCGGCGCGGTTATCAGCGCTCCTCGCAGATGGGCCGCCCGCCCTCCGCGCTCACGGCGCCCCACTCCCCGCGGCCTGTAGCCCCGTCCCCTGGGCGCGGGGGGGAGGCGCCTCCGGATCCGCTCCCTGGCTCCCGCCTCCCTCCCTCGCGGCCCCCTCACCCCGCGGGCCCGGGCCCGGGCGGCCGCCGGAGGGGGAGGGGGAGGGGACAAGTGCACTTTTCGTAACGACCGAATCAATTGTGTGTGAAGAGCCCGCTCCGGCCGGGGACAGGGCTGAGCGCGGGGCGGGCGGGCCGGACGGGGGAGGAGCACGGAGGGGGGAGCGGGGGAGCGAGGGAGGGAGGGAGGCCGGCGCGGGGCGGCCCGGCTCGCTCGCTCGGGCCGGGCGAGGCCGGGGAGGGAGCGAGGGGGGCAGGGAGGGAGGCCGGCCGGGCCGGGTCGGGCCGGGGGCTGAACGCACTAATGGAGGGTCTCCGCGACGGAAAGTTCAAAGCTCAGCAGCGCCCCGGGAGCAGCCGCCCCCCCCCAGCCCCCACCCGCTGCAGAACAATGAGGTCCCGGCGGGGGAGCCGCGGGGCCCGCGCCGCACGCCCTCTCCAGGGCGCCCCGGGCCGGAGGGGACGCCCCCGCCCGGCCGCCCGCCTCCTCCCTCGCGGCGGCTGCGGTTCCCCGCCCCCTCCCCCACGCCACCCCGCCCGGACCCGGCCGGCCCCGGGGACGGGGGAGGGGAGGGGATGGATAGGTCAGGCCGCCCCCGTCCCGGGGAGGGGGGAGCTAGGGGCCCGGGGGGCGGAGGGGGCGCCCCACCCACCCGCGCGAGGCTGCTCCTGCGCCAGGCTGCGGCTCGGGCCGCCCCTCCCCGGGCCAGCCCCGGGTGGGGTCGGGGAGACAGTGCCGGGGCGGGCCCCCTCCCCTGGCGCTGGGGAGCCGAGTGGACTCCCCGTCCCGTAGCGGCCCCTGCCCCCCCTCCCGCGGCACCACCCTCCACACACACACACACACACACACACGGACACACACAGACACACACACACACAGACACACACACACACACACACCGCCCAGCCGGCCCGGGGGCGGGAGCGCGAGGCGCCCGGGACAGGCAGCCCCGGGGCGGGCGGGGGGGGAGGCTCAGGCTTCGGAGCAGCCGCCTGCTGGCTGGGGGAGGGGACGGTAGGACGGAACATGCTGGGGTGAGCTACCCGGGACAGCCCGCCCGGCACGGCCACGGCCCGGGCAGCGGCGCAGAGGGGGGCAGGGACGCCCCGAACCCGGAGCGCTGCCTGGGCGGGCCGGGGCGGGCGGGTGAGCAGAGACGCGTGCGCCTCGGGCGGGCCAGACCCACAGACAACCTCAGGGACACACGTTCGGACATACATCCACACCCCCACACCCCGCCCCCGCCCGCCCCGAGCCCCGCGGCGGGACCGGCCCGCGGCCGCCGCGCGCGCACTCACCGAGCCCGTCTTGACCGGCACATACACCACTTGGCCCATCTTGGGTTCCCGGCCGCTGCCCAGGCGGAAGCCCTTGGAGCGCACCCAGAACTGGAACTTGCCTTTCTCGCCGGCCGCCGGGCCGCTGCCCGCGCCGGTCCCGCCGCCGCCCTGCAGGACCTCGGCGATCCGCTGGTATTTGCTGCGTGTCACCGTCTTGGTTTTGGCCGAGTCGCCGTAGGTGCGCAGGCACCAGTCCCGGAACTGGCGGCCCAGCTCCGAGTCCCCGGGGCTGCGCTCGCGCTCCCAGCCCCCGCGCAGCAGCAGCGTCGGCTTCGGCATCCTCCCGCCGCGCCCGGCGCCCTCGGGGGCGGGCCGGCCGCCCGGCCGCCCGGTGCCGGGACTGGGCTGGGCTGGGCCGGGCCGGGGCGCGCCGCGGCCCGAGCTGTCCCGCGGTGTGGCTCCGGCGCGGCTGCTTGATGGGCACGGGCGGCGGCCGGACGCGCGGGGCTGCGGCGCGCTCTGTCCTGCTCGGGCGGCGGCAGCGGCGGCGTTGGCGGCGGCGGCTCCGGCTCGCCTCCTGCTCCGCCTCCTCCTCCCCCCCGGCCGGGATGCGGGAGCGATGGAGGCAGCTCCGGGCCCGGAGGTGCAGAGGGGGCGGGCCGCCCCGCGGGCGGCCGGGGGAGGCGGGAGGCGGGGAGCGGCTCCGGGCGCGGGGAGCGAGACCGAGCCTGGGCGCGGGCGGCGGCGGCGGCGGCTGTCAGCTCGCGCGGCTCATCCTGCTCCTGCTCAGGCTCCCGCTGCCGCTGCTCTTCCTCCTCCTCCTCCTCCCGCGCCCGCCTCCACCACGCCGCGGGATCCCACCTGTTAGAGCGTCGCAGCCTTCGCCGCCGTCCCCCCCCCCGCGCCCGCGCCCGCCCGCGGGACCCAGACCCCGCCCCGAGCCGGCCCCCGGGGGCGCAGGGGCTGCCGCGCCCGCAGCCGCCGAGAGGGCAGGAGCCGCAGGCGCGCAGTGCCCAGCCCAGGGACTGAGTTCCCTCTGGTCGGGCCTGGCCCCGAGCCTCGCAGGCCGTGCTGCGCCCGGACCCCGCGGTCTCGCAGGGGGTAGGGCGCAGACCCCGCCTGGCCACAGGCGTTCCGGCCTCCCCGGGCGGCCCCGCCCGATTTTAGCCCCGCGCGGGGGGTACAGGGCAGGCGCCCTTCCCTCCTTCCCGCAACTGGCCTCCTTTCTCCGGTGCGAGCCCAGCGCCAGAAGAGCAGTGTTCCCCTGGGAAACCCCAAACCGCCGCCCTTTGGGGGCCCAAACTTCCTTCCCTCTCCCCTCACCCCGAATTCCCCGAAGTTTGGCCGGCCTTACTTCTGCCAGACCCACTGCTCTGGGACAGCCCCAGGCCCCAGGGAAGTTGTCAACATTGGCCGTTAGCCTCATTCAGGCCAACCCCACCAAGGCTTCAGGCCACACTCAACACACCCACAAGTTCATCCCAAGACACCCTGCCTTCATGGGTGCACGAGACCTAGAATCTCTTGCTGAGTAAACTGAGGTGGCCCCCTACCCCCTTCCTCTCTGGGCAGGGCTGACCTTGGATAGAGCTGGCCCCCTCTCCCTGAATGCAATCAGGAACATAAATAAAGGCACAGGCCGATTCCCTGGAATTTCTGCCCTCCTTTCCTAACTGGGCCTGAGGAATTACTTGGCTTCTTTGCTTAGTGTTCCCTGAGGCCCACCCCTATGTTCCCAGGCCACTCCTGCGGGCAAGTCCCCACTCAAAGCGCAGTCCCAGATTTTGACCAGGGCAGGGCCATTTCCTGTCTAGGAACCAGTGGCTACCCCGTCCCAAGGTCCCCCACTCCAAACCTACAGTATGCCATGTCCTGGCATCTCAGAGGCAGAGGGTATTGGCCCATTTTGCAGATGAAGGCCTGGGGCCTGAAGAGGTAGCCTGACCTGCTCAAGGTCATGCAGGGAGGAGGGGAGGGTTTCAGCCCTGGTCTGTCTGTCTCCTGCTACCACATCACACAGGATGTCTCTCCTTTGCCATCGCCCTGGGAGGAATCCCGACACTGGATGTGCCTGCCTCACTTCTCCCAGTAGACAGACAGTTCCAGATGCTCAGGGCCCATGTCTGACTCATCCCTACGTGCCCAGGCCCTAGCACAGCACCAAGCACATAGTAGGTGCCAATAAATGCTGAAAGAACCAAAGAGGTCTTTCAAGTCCCAACCTCGCTCTGCATTTCACATGGAAGATTTATTTTTAGATAATTTACATTTCCATGTTACTTTATATACACCAACAACTCCATAGTCGTTTTTCCTCTTCATCTTCCCAAGAGCTCTTTTTGGTTCCAGGCTGACATGCCCATTTTTTAGAGATGACCACTGGGGCTCAGAGAAGGAAAGGCACTGCCTAAAGGTCACCCAGCCCCAGAGGTGCAGGGGCTCCTGCATGGTTCAGAAGCCTGTGCCTTGACTTTTCCAATATACCCCTTGACACGTAAGCCCACTGACTTCCTTCCTGAGAGGAAGAGTGCCCTGGCCCAGGAACGCTAATGGTCATTCTCAGCAAAGGTACTGTGGTACCTACTTGAGCCTGGGTCTCTCTCTTCAGTTCCGAGACCCACTTCTGTAAACACTAAGCCAGGCCATCCATCCGGGTGATCTGGGTCTTTGCCTGCCTTTCAGAATCTAGAAACCTGGTTACCCGTCTTGGGCTGAGTTCTAGTGTGGCAGAAGGTGTTAGCACAGTGAAAAGAACATAGGCTTCTGGTAGAGTCAAACAGATTTGGGCTGGAATCCTGACTGCTATTTGCTATGGGTATTCTTCACGACCACCGGTCCCAGTTGGCTGCTCCCCATCAGAATAAACCCATCAGGGGCGTCTGGGTGGCTCAGTTGTTAAGCGTCTGCCTTTGGCTCAGGTCATAATCCCAGGCTCCTGGGATCAAGCCCCTCATCGGGCTCCCTGCTCAGTGGGAATCCTGCATCTCCCTCTCCCATTCCCCCTGTTTCTGTTCCTTCTCTTTCTGTGTGTCTCTCTCTGTCAAATAAATAAATGAATAAAATCTTTAAAATAAAATAATTAAAAAATAGAAAATGAAATCATTAAAGAAATAATAATTACATCTTGGGGAAAGGGCCTTGTTGGAAATAGGGAGCTGCGAGAGCAAATGAACACAAGCGACTGCTTTCCTTAGGGGGCTCAGGGAAGACCCCTCTGAGGTGGCATATTTGAACATATTTGAGTTCAATGTCAAGGAGCCATCTATGCTACATTCTGAGGGAAGAGCATTCTGGCAAAGGGAACAGTACGTGCAAAGGCCCTGAGGTGGGAAAGAGATTGGCATTTTCCAGAAGCTGAAAGAAGGCCAGTGTGGCCAAGAGTGAAGTGAGTGAGGAGCGGTTGGAATGCAGGAGACCATAGGAAAAACTTCGAATTGCATTCTAAGTGTGATGCGAAGCCACTGGTGAATCGTAAAGAGGGGAGAGACTAAGTAGTAGAGAAGTGAGGTGTGGAGGGCCTGGGGTCTGTGGTCAAGGGCCCTGGAGGTCAGAGACCTTGCTTTCTCCTCTTGTATGTCAGCTTACTCTATACTAGGCACATCTCAGCCTCGTGCCCCAAAAAGTATCGGGAAAAAGTGGAGGTGGCCGAGCAGAATGAGAGAGGCCTACAGCAGCCCAAACCCACTTCTGCCAAAACATCCCCAGACCTCTAGCCTATTCATTGTCAGTGGTCCTTTAGCCGGGGTCCTGCCCCAGAGCATGCTGGGTGGGAGGTGAGTTTCTCACAATGTCCAGCTTGGGGACGGGGGGCAGTCGTGGTCCTAGGGGGCAACTGCTCCTCCTTTCTTCCCATTCCAGCCACCTGCTGAAAGGACAAAGTAGACTGTCCCATTAATCAAGGTCAGTAGATCCCTCGGATTTTTTCTTTGCCCTCAGTCCAGATGTCCAAGGGAGGCTGGGGTTGAAGCACAGGGAACTCAGGCCCCCACTGCTCGTGGCCACTTGGGATGCTGACAGGAATGTCCTGGGTCACAAGAGGTTACCCATGCAGGGTCTGCAGAGAGTATCCAACACAAATTCTGCCTTTTACAGGTGGGTAAACTGAGTCCCACAGCAGGGAAGAGACTCAGGGCCACAGGCAGAGCCTGTAGCTAATTTGGCACAGATCACCCATCTTTCACTGAGCCCTGACTCTGGGCCCAGGTGAGCGGGAATGCCTACAACTCAGAGGCAAGGTAACCCTACCAGCCTGGCCAAGCCACCAAAAGCTGTGGGGAGCAGGAAGTCCTCGGAGCCTCAGGGAGAGGTGGTTTCCATCACTGGGAGCTGTAGCCCCTTCTGCCAAGAGCTCGTGCAGTCATGGTCACCTTCCACTCCAAAGCACCTCCCCCTGCAGCCGGCCTGTGCACCCCCCTCCCAGCCCTGATGCTCCAGGCCCACCTCACCCAGAAAGCCTTCCTGATCCCTTGGTTTGGCTCAGGGGCTCCCATGGCTGCTCACAGACACCTGGGCTCTGAGAACCGCTGAGAGCCACTGCAACCTCACATTTGCCTGGTTACCTGTACCTACCAGGGCCTAGCACACGAGCTGAGGTCTAGCAATTATTGAAAAAATGATTACACTTTTTAAAAGTGAGGGAATGAATGAAAGAATAAACGGACTGGTTCTAAAAATGCACAGCTCAGATGGAGGTCGACGGCGTTTTTCACCATCCTCCTTGCCGCGACCTTACCGATCAGTCTCAGCCCTCTGTCATGTGGCCTGACACGGGTTCCCTGCTCCAAGCCTTGGTTTGCAACACTGGTGAAGTGGGGGTAATAAGTAACCCTAACTCACGGGGCTATTGTGAGACTAAGCACCCAGCGAGCGGCAGCTTTCATAGTGACGATGTCTGTCTACCACGTATTTGGACTTGACATTGTGAGTGTCCCCCGTGCGCCGGACGTCATGCCCAGTGTTGGGAACACAGCACTAAATGAGACGGACCTGGACCCAGCCCTCCAGAAGCTTAGGGAATAGCCATCTTTTCAAAGATGAGGACAGATGGGTTGAGAATTTGAAAACAAAACGGTGCCACGGGAACACAGGGCAGGGAGACTCAGACGAGCATCTCTGCAAAGCCCCACCCAAGGGCTCCTAGGACAGAGGCACTCAGGACAAAGGGCAGAGGAAGGAGAATGATGTCTCCGCACCTACAATGGCCCGTGCCATGGTGTCCGGGGAACCACAGTCCACCAGGAAGGCATTCTGCCCACCTCACAGAGTTTGCAAATCTTTTGAATCCAGCATCTATCTTCTCCAGAAATGAACACATAAAGAGACAAGAAATTTCATTCAAA